GAAACGGGCGCCAAATAGGATTTGGACGCTCGCTCAATCTTTGCCAGCCCGTTACATTCGGCGATTGACCATTTGACCTTTCACCACTAACTATTTTACCCCAATTGACCGTTGTTTTCAAAATTTTGGAAAAACTTCTCAAATACAGAAAGAAGTTCATAGGTTGATTTTTTTCAGAAAATACAAAAGAAGTTCACAAATTTGAAAAATGTTCGTGAATACAAAAACAATTCACGAATTTTAAAAATGTTTGAAAATACAAAATTGTTCATAAACTTTAAAAATGTATTTTAACACGAAAACGTTCGTGGATATTGAAAGAAGTTCACGAATATGAAAAGTTCACATATTTGAAAAAACGAATCAAAAATATGAAAAAAAGTTCATTAATTGGAAAAATAATTCACGAATCAAGGTAAGTTCATGAATTTTAAAATGAAAAGTTAATGAATTTGAAAAGATCATGAATTTGAAAAAGTTCACAAGTTTGAATAAAAGTTCACAAATTAGGACAATAATTGCGAATTGAAGACAGGAAAATATTGATTAAAACAGAAAAGTTCACGAATCTGTTTTATTTATTGTGCATTTTATGTTTGTCTTAAATCAAACTATGTAAACTTTTGACCATAGTTATGGGAAAATATTAACATCTACAACGTCAAATTGATACCATTACATTCATTATTAAATATATTTTTATATCATAAATAATATTTTTAAGTAGTATATCATATATAATTGATATTGTAAATATTTATATTGTTTTTTATAAAAGTAGTGTGCGGACTAAATACAAAAAAGTGAGTATTTGAAGCCCGTTAGCAATGACTGATTTTTTTTAAGCCCGTTAGCAGTGGCTGGTTAGCAAGAACATTGTTTTCTTGTAATTGGATCCTTACCGGTCCCACATATATTATTCTAAAAACAACAATCCAAACCATTAGTTGACTTATTTCGCCAACAAAAATATATACATGAGCTGACTTCCGCTTGAGTAGTGGACTAGCACCCAATGACACCCTGTCGTGCATCACAGCAACAATCAGTCTGGCACGAGCCACCAGGGATTAAGAGTAAAATTATCCACACCGCAAAAAAAATTATAAGAGTAAAATTATCCAACAAAACGAAATACAATGACAGGTTGTTTTAGGGAAACAGACAAAACGAATCAATCGGTGACATCAGAACTTCTGCACAACTTTATGGCATCTATGGAGGACCCTTGACCCCGCATATCAGCGACACTATGATGTCCTCCCTTCGTCTGGAAATACTTCTCATCAAAATGAATAAAAGGGGATGTATCTAGATGTATTTTAGTTCTAGATATATCTTTTTTGTCCATTTTGATGACAAGCAACGCCATGGTGTCGAGCTTCATCGAGGAGCTGTTGGTTGTTGTTGCCCGCAGATCTGGAGATCCGGCGAGGTTTAGTGCTCCTTGCGCGGTCGACAGGGGCGATGACGATGGCCGTGTGATGTGGTGATCACATCCTTGGGCCCTGTTGTCGTCATATGACGTTCCATACAATGGCGATGTGGGGCTGCTAAGGTATGTGGAACCTCAAACCTATTGGATTTTGCCGGCGGCAATGTCTCGACGTGGTCGAGACGTCTTAAGCAGGCACATGTAATGTTGTTCTATTGGTTAATCCTCTCTCGGACTGTTGGTCCTTTACTCCTTTTGGATCGAAGGTGCAGACTTCCCGCCCGTCATCAATCTGTGACAGTGGCAAATCTACTACGGGGGCTTTAACAGGCTCAAGCGCTCCCCTCCAGCTTTGCAAAATTAGTTTTGCCACTTGTCTAAAGGCCCAACACAACAATTTGTCAATCCAGCTCAACATACATTCTCGTGACATAGACAACCCAGCCCACCCTCTATTTTCTTTGTAGATTCACCACTGATCTGTGCGCATGCCCAAGGGTACTTGCTGGCCGGGGGGAGCGGTGGCGACGGCGGGGCGGTGAATTGGTCCCAGGTACCTGTTTGTAATTTTGTATCTTTTTGAGGTGTGTGTTGTACCGCTGTTTGAACTCAACATACGCGCGTTTATATGAGTGCTTGCATGTCTTTAAAAAAATCAACGTATGTATGAGGTCCTCTTCATCGCGGAAAAGAAAAACCTCTGCGAGGCACGCAGGAGGAAATCAAATCATAGCGCGTAAGACGTCTACTCTACTCGAGCGGTGCCCGGCGCGGCGAGCCACACCATGCAGCAGATGCAGGGCCCCAACCAAAGCCGAACGAATCCCTCCTTCCTTCCGTGTGCAGTAGTACTGCAGCGCAATGCGCGGAAAGCTACGGCGACGGAGCAGCCGCGTCGTGCCCGCGTCGAGAGGGAGGCCTTCTCTTTCTCTCTTTCCGCACTCACTTTTCCTTAGCCTGCAAGTGCAACTGCACAGGAAAGAGGAAACAGAAGGGAATACGAATCCTGACCTGCCGCCGCCGCCACTAATGACGGCCGAGATTCGTCGCGAGGCTGCGCCGCCCCACCCACACGGGCGCCGGTCACCCCGTCAACGCGCGTGCGTAGGGTCCACTTTTTTGGGAGAGACGATGGCCTACCCAAGGACGTCGTATCCGTTGAGCGGAGCCCCGCCCACGAGGCCGACGCGTGGGCCCCGCCCCACTAACCTGAACAGTACGACAATTTCAATTCATTCACCCTCAACTGTGGGGACGGGCCGAAGATTCGTGACGCAACTGCCGCCGCCTAGAACACGCCCCTCGATGACACGTGGGCTCCACCGCACGCCGGGGACTACGCGTCATGCATGCCGCGCGCCCCCCGTGTCGCGAACGAACCACCTGAGAACGACGCGCATTCGCCATGGACCTACGGAAACCACACCGCACTCACTGACATGCGGGTTCGCGACCCGTCCTGCCCCACGCATCAGCCTTAGAGGCCAAGTATCCGCGTGGGAGAAGCACCCCCGCAACCTCCTCCGCTCCCTCCCCGCCATATAATACGCGCAGCCCTCTGCCCTCCC